GCTGCAAAGACATTGTCATGTTTTCCTCTTCATTTGAGGGTCTGTACCTAGAAGTATTATTCCCTCTGATAGTTAGTTGCTGTTGTTGTGTGCTGCTTTGCATTATTTCAGTGTTCTTAAATTTATTAAGGCTTGCTTTATGACCTACCAAGGTACATAGACCTGTACTCTAACAAATTTGAAAACCTAGAAGAAAAGGACAGATTTCTAGAAACACACTATTTACCTAAACTAACACAGACTGACATGGAAAATTTGGAAAAACCCACAACAAAAGAAGAAACTGAACAGGTCATAAAAAAATTAACAACAACAACAAAAAAAGTCCTGGCCCAGATGATTTCACTGGATAATTCTACTGAACATTCAGAGAAGAACTGACACCAATCCTACTCAAACTATTCCAGAACATAGAAAAGAATGGAATCCTCCCAAATTCATTTGATGAAGCAAGCATAACCTTGATATCAAAACAAGGCAAAGATATCACTCAAAAGGATATCCTTTTATCCCCAAAAGGATAAACTCTAACTTCTGTACCTAGTTTTTCAAGCACTAAGATGCTAGAGGGAAATAGTGTGGTGATTACTGATGAGACTCCATTTTGAATCCTTGTGACTGGGGTCTTAAAAGCTGGCAAGTAGCTATCTAGATGCAACAATGGATCTCTCCTCATCTACAACAAAGAAGGATGAAGAAAAAAAAAAACAAAGATCCATGGAAACAACTACTCCAAGGGATTAGTGGACCATGCAAACTTCAGCCTGTATGATCATAAGACCAGAAGAACTAGATGGTGCCAGGCTACCACTGTCAACCACTTAGAAAGGGATCAGTGCAGGAGATCCTGGATAGAGTGAGAAAACAATATAGAACAAAACTCAAAATCATAAAAAACACCTGGTTTATTAGTCTGATAGAGCCTGGTATGGACCAAGACTATGGCCTCTGGTTACCCTGCAGGGCTAGAATTGGACTCAATGCCCTGGCTTCCAGCCAAACAACGCATAGGTATTTAGGGTGAACATTTACACCAGGTAGATACACCACTACAACAAACAATCATGGGAGAATATAAGTGCAGTATTTGCACAAGGAGATAGCTCAGGGAGCAGGAATGCATAGGAAAGAAGGACACAGGGAAGAGGTAACTACAGGGAGGAAGTGGGAAGAGAGCTGTTACATTGTGGGCAATTTCTGTCAATGTCGTGAATCAAAATGTGTATGAACTGGTGTATGGAACATGAATTTGCTCTGTAAACTTTCATCCAAATCACAACAAAATTTTTTTTTTTTATAAAAAGCCCACAAATGCTTTTTCAAAGATGACGATCATTAAACTGAAAAAAAAAAAAATCTGCATTCAGTGGGTCTGATCTTTTGCAAGTAGATTGTCAGGTCTTTCTTCTGAGGCACCTCTGGATGGACTCCACTGCCAGCCTTTTCTTAATAGCCAAGCACTTAATCATTTGTGCCACTCAGGGACTCCCAGGGACCATTATTTAGTCCAAAATAACTAAGGAAACAAGGAAACAAGGCATCCTGAATAAGAACCAGCAAAAATTGATGAAACAAAGGAAATGAAACCATAGAGACTTTACGTATTAGGATGTCACACATAAATACTTCAAGAAAGTAAAGATAGGCTTTAAAATATATTCAAAGAATAAGAACCTCTAAGAAATGACCTAGCCGGTTCGAACAAATGATACAAACAGAACTACTGGAAATGAAAAAATAAAATAACTGAAATTAAGTGTTTAGCCATAACAGTAGACAGAATTGGTGAACTGAAAGGTCAGAAGAAAATAGGCAAAATGAAGCACAAAGAGAAAAGAAATCAAAGCCATGACAGGCTAGAGAGTGAAGGTTAACACGTATTCAATGAGAATTCCAGAAGCAGACGAAAAAGAACCTGGTGGCAATTGTTTGGCTCTGTTGTACATAAGGTCCCTCAGAGTCAGCTCAAGGGTAGCTAATACCAAACAAACCAAACCACACTGCCGTGAAGTTGGATCTGACTCATAGTGACCCCTTCTTGGGTTTCCAAGGCAGTATCACTACCAAAGTAGATTGCCCCACCTACCTTCCGAGGAGTGCCTGGTGGGTTGGAACCACCAGCCTTCTGGTTAACAGTCAAATGCCTTAGGCACAACACCACCAGAGCTCCCCAGGGTTGCTAACAACAAAATATATATTAAAAAAAACCTCACTGCTGTCAAGTGGGATCCCACTCATAGCGACCCCTCCTTGGGTTTCTGAGATGGTGTCACTACTCCATTACCCAACTTTCCTTCCGAGGAGTGGCTGATGGGTTTGAACCACCAGCTTTCTGGTGAGCAGTCAAATGCCTTAGGCACTATACCATCAGAGCTTCCACAAAATATATATGGTTTTAAACTGCCTCGGGGCTGCAAGAGTGGCTCTCTCCCTCAGAAACAGTAGGTCCATGGAACATAAGACAGGCCTCCAACATGACCTGCTAGGAGGATATAGCCTCCCAGCCAGGAGGGCAGAGACCACAGCCTGGTAAGAAGGGGCTGCTGAGGGAACAAAGGATGGGAAGGGGTCCTGGGCAATCAAAAAAGGCCTTTATGCCCCATCAAAATATGTTGTTGGTTTTAATCAGTTGACCACTTCTGAAAGGCCAGCCAAGCTCAGTTAGAGCTATGTGCAGAGAGGACTGGGCTGAGAGAGAGGATGCAGAATGGGGATGGGAGAGTCAGGAGAGAGGGGGCCTGGGCTGGGTGGAGGGTGGAAATAGAGTGGGGGGCAGAGAGAGAGAAGAAAGTGGTGAGGGAGGTGGGGTGGATAAGGAGTGAGGATGGATCAGATGTCCCAAGACTGGGCCAGTAGATGCAGGCATGCACACAGAATGGCAGCTTGTTTTCAGGCCTGCAGGAGGAACAGGAAGTCCTGAGAACCAGGCCCAGGATGGTGCCATGCTTGGGAGCCCCATTTCTTGGGGAGTCATGATTTCTCACCCTGGGTATCTGAGCAGTACCAGGGCCCAGGGAGCCCCTCTACTGCAAGGTATTCGTTCCTTCTGACTTATGGTCTTGTTATTATTACGTCACCAAACAGTTTTTCTGGGTTGTGACTGGGGGCCATCTGATGTCTACTAGCTCCAGCCACTAACAAAAATACCCCCTCTGACTAGGGACCACTAGTGTCCCAGGCAGAGCCCTATCTTCTCGGGGATGGGGACACTACACTGTCTCCATGCCTCTCTACCAATGTGAAGCCTTCCTCGCTGACATTCCCAAGAAGATGACCTTGACTGTGGGGGAGAACTGGTCATCCCTGCCAGATGGTTATGACATCTGTAAAAAGCTCAGGGTCTCAAAACAGCCCCAGTCTCGATGCTGCATCCATGCCCCATCCCATGCCATTTTTCCAGATACACACAGGAGGTCTTTTGAGAGGGAGAGACAATGCTTTTATTTGGTGGCAAACAGGTCACACATGTGGAACATTGAGCCAGGATTGAGAAGAGGTCACTGAATGACTCACAGAACCAGAGGGAATCCACCCAGGAGCCTAAGGACTCAGCACAGCCAGTTGGAGGGTAGAATGATTCTGGGGGCAAGAAGAGACCCCAGATTGGGCTCTGGCTCCAAAGATGTCAGGTGAAAGCCAGAGTGGTTCTGGAGGGTTGGTGCCCGTTCAGCAGCAGGGATTCTGGCCCGAGGAAGAGCAACAGCAGGCAGGCCTGCACAAGGGGCGGCAGAGCAGGGACATGCTGGAGGAGGCAGGGGCACAGCAGGAGGAGGAGGGCACACAGCAGGCAGGCTTGCACACTGGTTGGCAGATGAGGGACACACAGGAGGAGGGTTTACAGCAGGAGGCTGTACAGGTAGAGGGCTGGCAGCATGAGGGGGCAGGGCAGGGGCTGGCCCCACAGCAGACAGGCACACAGCAGACAGGCTTGCAGCAGACAGGCTCACAACAGACGGGCTTACAGCAGACAGGTTTGCAGCAGAAGGGCTTGCAGCACACAGGCTTGCAGCAGACAGGCGTACAGCAGATGAGCTTGCAGCAGACAGGCACACAGCAGGCCTGCTGGCAGGGGGAGAGTGTGCAGCATGCAGGCTGGCAGCTAGACTGCTGGCAGCAGGAAGGTTCACAGGTGCAGACTGATTGGCAGGAGCTGGACTCACAGGTTGCCTGGCAGCAGGGGTTAGACACATAGCTCAGGGGGGTGCAGATGAGGGTCTGGCAGGCACCCGGGGCACAGCAGGTGGGGGCACAACAAGTGGACTGGCAGCAGGTGGGGGCACAGCAGGGTGGCTCACAGAAGCTCTCTGGGCAGTTTTCCATCTCCCAGGAGGAGTCGGTGCAAGACTCACAGGACCCAGGCAGGCAGACACGGCTGCCATAGCTTAGGTCACTAGAACAGACAGACATGTTGGAAGCAGCAATGGTGTGGGGTGGGGTGGGAAGAGGTGAAGTTGTAGAGGAGGAGGAGGGTGTGAGTGAGTGAGTGAGTGAGTGAGGAGCTCTTGGCCTCCAGGGCTTTTATATCCCTCTGTGTTTTTTGTCTCATCAGAGGCCCCAAAGTTTCCCTTCCTGGTTGGTGTTAAGCAGCAGTTGCTGTTTTTTTTTTTTTTTTTTT